ATATATATATATATATGCGCAGTATCTTAGCAGTTCTAGGCACAGCTAAGATACTGCGCAGAACCCTCAAGCTCCCAGGCCTCTGGTAGAGGACCCGAGCTCAGAGGATGAAAGAGACCACCCGCGGAGGGTGAGAAGGGAATTTTTATATATGCACATACCATTCAATTAGTGTCCAACCAGAAAACGCAGGATTTAAACACCTGTCTGTGTGCGGTTGTGAGCATGCATGTACATACAAGATCTCTTTCAGCATTAAGCTTTCACACTGCATTTTCACCTCACCATAAAACTTAGGTCTGCATCTGGAAAATACTWGCAGTTTATGTCTGCATAGGTAGAAACTTCATCCTTATTTAAATCATCAAATTGCTRACTTTTCAACAGATTTCAAGGTGATTTGGTTTTTGTTCCACCAGTGTCTGAGGATGTCATGAATATAGAATAAACATCGTTCTGGTCATTTAAATACAGATGATGGTGAGTGAAGGGCTATCATGCATCACATTGTTTCAGCACAGTTCAGACTTGTGAGTCACTATAGAAACATTTCTAAAATAGGAGCAACACTGCAACCACGCAGCGACTGTATCATGGATTGACATCAGCAGGATGATTTTTTTTYTCTTCACATGGCAAGATTCCCCCAAACCAGACAGGATCACAATCTCATATATAACTCATCTTGTCATGGAAGATGGATWTGTCTGTCTCAGTGGTTGCCAGGACTACATGTCACCTGATGAATGAAGGGAAAATGTCAGGCTTTTACACCGCTTGGCAATCAGCTGAATCACACAGCGGACTGTAATATTTTARGGGATTATTAGCACACGGATATCGAAGATTATCTTCACGACAGAGCCRTTGTAAAAGGTTAATGTATTCTCCCATTGAATAGCAGAAGAGTTCAACGCAGCAGAAAGTGTTCAGGATTCACGTAAAGACAGGTTGCATGTCTGCAGTTTTGTTTCTGCCCTCACAGATATGCTGGTTGTTTGATTGCTTGCTGCAGTTACAGCACTTCTTTGGATTCTTCTAAAAATACTTTCTTTGAACAAAATGAAGCCAGCAAAGGGAACACTTGTACCCGACAGGAAATGAAGCTGCTTGCAGAACGTAATGTGAATTAATGTTGGAAACAAAAGCGAGGACAAGAACTGAGAAAAGACAGGACATGTCCAGTTTGTCTATCTATAATTAATGAAGGGAACATGAGGATAACATTGGCTCATTCGGTGTTATTGTACAATTCAACTAGAAAAAGTCAAGATCTCAGTGACTTTTCATTTTGGAGGTGAAAACCTGAAGAGGTCAGAAACCGTTTAAACTAATTTCTTGATAGCTAATAAAATTTTAAAAGGTTTAATCAATAACTCATGTGGAGGAAATTTACTTWATCATCAATAAACCTCAGTGGAATGATCAGGAACCTATTAATGCCTTACAGATTGTATATTTTAGCTGTATGGWACAGAGAGCTTGACATACAGACAACTTAATTAGGGTGTGGGTGTGGCTTAAATAACATTCCCTCTCAAATGTGGTACTTAGGCTCRGYCCCAWTACTCACACTTCCACCCTTGTGTACCTCAAAAACACCTTCCCACATCCAAGCAGACTTTGGCGAAGTGTATTACCCACAATTCATTGCTGTATGTGATGTTTTAGATTAAAAGGCAGATGGTAATGTCCACCGAGCACCTTCCAGTCTAATGGTGACAAAAATGCTTAAATTAGTCGGCCGACTGCCAATAAAATCAAAAGAAGAAGAACTTRTAGAAGGCTTGAAGAAATTTATAGTTATTACAKATTAGTACTGATGTTAGAAGCATAACACTAGATWATTAGGGTTTCCTTTTTATAATGTTTGATCTATTATTAATCTATTATGTGTTAATTGATWTAGAGTAGTTACATGTCCGAATCATAAACAACACATAAGAGAACCGTTATGATAACATTAGGTTGAGTTTATTGGATGAATGCCTGTGATTCAGCTGCAGGTCAGTAGGGGGCGAACTCAGGCATTGAAGAATGATGTATAAAAAGAT